TGTAAATACTGCGTGTACATATGTATGTAAATACTGCATGGACATGTATGTAAATACTGCATGGACATGTATGTAAATACTGCATGGACATGTATGTAAATACTGCATGGACATGTATGTAAATACTGCGTGGACATGTATGTAAATACTGCATGGACATGTATGTAAATACTGCGTGGACATGTATGTAAATACTGCGTGGATATGTATGTAAATACTCATATGCACTTTCACACCATGTGTTCGACATGTATTAATGCTTAGAGAATGTCAAACTACAGAGACACAGACAGACGTAGACCTGAGACTGAGGACACGCTGGGGTTTCCATCCTACCTGGGTCTGGATGCGGTTCAGGCCACGGCACCAGAGCACCTGGCCCCTCCTGAGCTCCATCTCAGCGTGATCGATCTCATCTTTGTCCTCCAGCTCCTCCAGCTCCTCCTCGGGGATCTCCTCCTGCTGCGTGCCGTGACCTGCGGTTTTCAGGAAGCGTAGCCAGCTGGTGGGGACGCTGGACACGAGCTGAAAGAGGACAAACAGGATGTGCCAATCAGAGACAACGTGGACACTTAGCAGCTCCTCAAGTGAAGGGCACTGAGCTCCTTCTCTGTCAGAACAAGTATTTGGAGTATTACATGTATCAGCTTCATTTTGTGGTATATCTCAGAACCAAATGAAGCTGAGCTAACAAAGAGTTTACCTGTCCCCACAGGAGACTGCCGAAGCCCAGAAAGACACACCACAGCCACTGTTCAATGGAGAGTGGAGCACAGCTGAACGGCTTCCCACCAAACTGCACAATGACTATCTGCAAAAACATCAACACCGAAACATTTTGTCATCATCAAACAACATCGCTCTGAGACAGTTTATTTTCCTCTGAAGTCTTACCTGGACAACAAAGGTTCCCAGGAGGATGGAGCAGAAGATGGGATTCCTGAAAACGCCCTCGAAGACGTTCCGCTCTCCGTGAATCTTGCGTGCGTTGAACTCGTTGAAAATCTGCATGAGGACAAAAGTGGTGAAAACGATGGTGTAGTGCTCAGAGGGCGAGGCATGGAGGGGCGCGTTTCTGCCGTCGTCGATGTCGAACATCTTCTCACCTGAAGGAGAGAGAGAAACAGCTAGGTGAAGACATGATGTTTTTACCCATGTCTATATATGTGTGTTTATTTTTCTGTAGCCATTGCCAAATACCTCTAAAACCACTGGACAGATTTTACTGAACGTCTTAGAAAATGCTTGTAAAATAAACAGAGTCAATCCAGCTCAAGATGGCAGTCACAGCTGATCCATCTTAGCAAATGTATAAATGGTTAAAGCTCAGTGAGTTTTATAAAAGTGAGCTAAAATTTTGAGTGTTGTAAACTCAAACACTTTTAGTCAGGCCTTCAGGGCATGGCGCATTGACTGACCAACGAAGAGGAGAGTGAAGATTATTGTCAGCTGGTAGATGGCGTGTCCCAGAATGTTCTTCATCATGGTCCTTGAAATGAGCGGCTTTTTGCGTCCGTACGGGTTTCTGAGCAGCAGTGCCTCTGTCGGAGGCTCGGTGGCGAGAGCTAATGAGGCGAAGGTGTCCATGATCAGGTTGACCCATAACATCTGTACAGCTTTCAGGGGTGAATCCTGGAAATGAACACAGATAAACAGATGCTGTCTGTAGTTCAGAGGACTAATTTAATTCTATGTGAAGCACCGTGTGTTGAAATGCTCCACAATAAGAAGCTTTGGTATTTTGCACACAGAAAAGTTTTTAATTTATTTTGATGAAAAAAAGCGGTCATAAAAGTGTCATTATGTAAATTTTATAGATATTGTCTCTCTAAAACAGTGGTTTCCAAC